CAGCCTGTGTCACAAATGCTTTCTTTCCAGATCTGAGATGCTCCCTCCCGGCCTCCCTCTGGAGAAGCCTGAAGGAAAGGCACCCCAGAGTACTTTTAAATGTGTGGTTCCCATTGTTGTGGGCGTCGATCTTCCTCCAGTTGCTGACAAATGTCTGCAGCCTGTGGTGGTACTCCTCTGAGCTGTATTTCTTTTGGTGCTAAAAACAAAACAAAACAAAAAACATTAACAATAAGTCATGGAAACAGGATGCATGAAGGAGATTTCTTGTTTTCTGAAAGGAGGAATGGAGGTTTTCTTTCTGCCAAGATTCTCAGGACAAATCTTGTGTCAGTGGGTGGCACTGGGTCTCTACTATCAAAATCAGTAAGTTACTGATGGCAAAAATCACCATTTTTCAAAAGTTTTTACACTAGTATTCTCCACCTGATTTTGCAGCCACTGTGCAAGGTGCTCTGAATACAAAAATAAATAAATAATGGAAGTGAATTTCAAGGTTTGAAAGGCTGCCAGCCATGTCTGTGACTAGGGACCATTGTTTGGAAGGAGTTAACTGCATCTTTGCTAGTGTTCAGCCAATCTGAACTCTGGAAAGACCCAGGGTGGGTTGAATGTGGAAAATCCTTCTGTATCGTTTCAAATCTGGTACAGTTTGGTTTAATAACAGGAAACTTTGTGAAATGAAAAACTTTAGAAAGAAGAAGTTGGGTACTGACCTGTACCATCCATGACTTAAAATGAAACTTCTCTGTAAAAGGAAAAAAAAAAATTAGGTCTGGGCCTCTTGGTAATGTTGAGTTTAGAGCCAACTAGAACATTTTAGAACTGATTTGCATTTTAGAAAACTATGCTATATTTAAAATACCAAAAGTGATATGATCTAATGCTGAATCCAAAAGGAACTCAAACTCTTTCTGCTTTGTATCCCAAATTAATTTTTTTTTTTCTCCTTTTTTTTTTTTTTCAGTGCTGTGGAAGAATCTCAGGGCCTCACATATGCTGGGCAAGTATTCCACCAGAGTTACATCTCCAGACTCCCAAATTAAATTTGAAAAACAATATACTTTATTATTTTTTTTTTGTTAAAATGAAGATTATGCTATATTTTATTTTCAGAGAAGGAAATACTCAATGGCTAGCCTTCTAAAATAAATATATAAATTTATTGTAATTACAAATAATGTTCCTGCATTATTCTTCACTTTATGAGTTGATGCTAAAATTCATACAAAGAATACATGGTCAAGTATATCCAGACTTCATTATTTTTTTAAAATGTAGCTGGGGATGGCACCTAGGCCTCGCCCATGCTAAGTACTCCACTAAATTTCCCCCCAAATGATATACTTTTAATCATCGTTTATTTTTAATCACTGATAAACTTTTAATCATTGACACAGTTAAAAATTAGGATAAGTGTTTATCCTGGGTGGACTGTGAGCTATTTCTTATCATGCCGGCAATGTTTGGCAACGTTCTATTGCTTCATCAGAGTGCAGGTCATGCAAGATGTCTCAACTGTGAAAACTAATTGAAACGCATGCATAATGATTTGTGCACTTTTCTGTATGATATTATATTTCAATAAGAAGTTAATTAAAAACCCTATGCCCAAAGGGTCAGCACATGCTTTCTCAAGGGGGATAGACAGGAAATATTTTAGGCTTTGCAATCCATAAGGTCTCTGTCACAACTATTTATCTCATCTTTGTACCTTAAAAGAAGCCATAGGCAATGGGAAAATTAATGGGTCTAAAAAACTTTACAAAACAATAAAATATATAGTTTCACAGGAGGTGGGGATATAGCTCAGTGGTAGAGTGCTTGCTTGCCTAGCATGCATGTGGCCCTGGGTTCAATCCTCGGTACTGCAAAAAAAGGAAGAAAAAACAAAAACCCCACTGTTACATCATTCTTTTAAAGCTAGCCAATAAAATCCATATGCCTTGGGAGTTTGCTACTTACCATCAATAATATAAACAAACTTTTCTATAAGAATTGGATATTTTACATAGTTTCTTTTTCTCATTGAATGTCTATCTTTCCACTTTACAGTATTTTACCCTAAAGAAACATTTTTATTTTGAGTACTTTTAATATTTGAGTATTCTATTTTGCAACAACAAAATATATCAATTTAAATTTTTTTATTTCCTGAATATTATAAAAAATTTATTCTTTTTTAAAAGTTTTTTTAATATTTATTTTTTAGTTTTTGGCGGACACAACATCTTTGTTTGTATGTGGTGCTGAGGATCGAACCTGGGCCTCACACATGCCAGGCGAGTGCGCTACCACTTGAGCCACATCCCCAGCCTCGTAAAAAATTTATTCTTGATTGAATAATCATAGGGATTATGAGTACCCCAACTGATTAGATTTTCAAATATATTATACATTGTTTAATCTAAAAAGTAAAAAAATCTTTTGGAAATGTATTTCTTAATGAGATAAACTTTCATTACTTCTTCCTCCTCATGGATTAAATATTTGTGACTATTATCTACTGCTTGAGACAGGGTTCAACATTAATTCTGGTCTCGTTATTTTTGAAGTCAAAGGGATGGAAAGTCCTGATCAAATAAGCAGCTGGGAAAGAAAGGCAGAATCCTCCCTTCTTCACTTCAGTTTCCTTAAGAAATGAAGAACACCAAACTTGAAAGATTTGTGGCCATTTGTCTTTTTGTTTGCTACATCCAAGGGTTGGGCTTCAGGACAAATGCCTTTAGATGCTTTTCTTCAATTTTTGCAAAGGAGACATCTGGAAGTAAAGGGTCCGGAAACTGACTCCTTGAAACTGAATCCATCTGTGTTGATATCACTTGAAACAGCCTCTGTGTTCCCCTAGGAATTCACACCCCAGTTTGAAGGTCAGTGCTGCACAGCATTTAGATTTCTCTCTGTGGATTTCAGAGCTATTCCAGAAACCATTGTCCCTGAGAAAGAAAATGCATATTTCCCCACACATGTCCTACTTAGGGTTTCAGGGATCTACATCCTGGTTATGGGCTCTGCTTGCAGTTGGGGCCTTCAGAGAAAACAGAGCTCAATTCAGGACCACCATCTGCAGCAGGATGGAGTTCAGATTACTGACCTGTGCCTCAGGCAGATTTCAAAAGTAATTAGCAGGTGTGAAAAACCCCTAGGCTACTTTTCATTCTTAGGAAGTCAAGAAAATGCAGAACCTTAAGACAGGGCCAGAAAGATCAGCTGATAACCATGTCTCAATTTTACACAGATCCATTCCAACTCCCTTACCACTTTTCAAACAAGTATCATTATATGTGTCCTGCCTGGGAAGGATCCACAGCAGGAGTCAGGAAATCACAGCCTGCCACCTGTTTTTGTAAGCCCAGGAGTTTCAATGGCTTTTTATACTTTTAACCTGTTGATGAGGGTAGGGAAAGAACAGTGATATTTTGTACCATCTGAAGTTATTTTTTTAATCTTTTGAATTTTTAAATTTGTTCTTCTAAGTATACAGGACAATAGAATGTATTTGACATATTATACATACATAGAGTATAACTTCCCATTCTTGTGGTTGTACATGGCGTGGAGTTTCACTGGTCATGTATTCATATAAAAACATAGGAAAGTTACATCATTCTGTCTTTCTTATTCATTCTGTCTTTCTTATTCCCCTCCCCCTCCCTTCCCTTCATTCCCCTTTGTCTAATCCAATGAACTTCTATTCTTTCCTCCTGCACCTGAAAATCTTTTGAAATTCGGCTCAGCATCCATAAATGTTTATTAGAGCATAATCATGCTCACTCATTTACATTCTGTATGTGGCTGTTTTTTGACCTAGAACGCAGAGTTAAATGGTTGTTACAGAGACCAAATGACCCACAAAGCTAAAATATTTACTAGCTGGTCTTTCACAGAAAAAGTGTGCCAAGCCCTGCTTGAGAGTTAACTGCTTTTCTGTGCCAGCACTCCTCTACACAGGCCGCCTGCCAAAGAAAACCAAAGCCCTCTGCCGGGAAGCAGCTGGGTTTCCCTTAGGTGAGGACTGACCTGGAGCTGTGTGCCCGCTTGAGCTTCCACTTATAAATAGGCAGGAAGGAATGAGGAGATTCTGACCAGGCAAGATTGAGCCTGGGTGATCTTTGTCCCATTCCCAAGCTGGTCCTTGGCTACTCATCTCTGTCCCAGGGTGAAGGGGGCAGGTGGGTTTGTAAGCTCAGAGCCTGTGGACTGAGGCTGGGGCCAAGGGCAGCAGGGAAGGAGGAGGGCTAAAAGGAGGGGTGCAAGAGCAGCAGGATGCTGGTACAGTCGCAGCCCACCAGACACCATAGGATTAGGGGTCAAAGTGGACTAGGTGCTGCTGTAGCAGGAGTCACACCTCCACACAGCTCATTCCAACCCATTTTACAGATGAACTTTCAAGGCACCTTTGGGGATCCCCTATGTCTATGGGAAAGCCGCTAGAAAAGGCTGGAAAACCCCGCTTGCCTGTGGCAGGAGCACTTCAGAGTCCTCTGTGTCCCCAGTTGCCCCCGTTGGCGGGTGGAGGGCAGAAAGGCTGCGGGTTTCTTTGGTAGTCTAGGCTTTGACGCCGCCTGGGCAAGGGGAACCCTGGCCACACAGCCCATCTGTTCCTTTGGTCATGGAAGACACTCACCCTCCGAGACCACCTGTCTCCCGCCCTGCGGGAGGCCACCGCTTCACCCCTCCCTGATCCCAACACGCACAGCCAGAATCTGGGCCCTGTGGAACGCTCAGTGCCCCACCGCCCCCAAGTTCGGCGAGTTCTCGGGAGCGCGGAGTCTGGGACCCTCCAGCCCCTCGGCCGCGGCCCGGGCATACCTAAGGAGTTCACGGACAGCGCGGCGGCAGCGCGGGCAGGGGCGCCCAGGAGCCAAGCCCAGGCGCAGAGCAGCGGCAGCACGGCCCTCATCGCGGCGGCGCGGCGCGGCTGTGGCTCCAGGCCCGGGAGGTGGCGGCCAGGGCTAAGGTCCCGGAGGCGGCGGGGCGGGGCGAGGCGGCGGGCGGGGCGGCACTGCAGGACCCAGTCCCGCGGCCGGCTCGCGGGAGGCGGGGCCACGTCGACCCCTGGCGGACTCGCGGCCGCTCCTTCCCACCCTTCCCACCATCCGGGCCACTGCGCTCCCCTCTCCTTTTCTCTGGAGGGAAGGGCGGATTGGACAGCCCCTCCTGGAGGGGTCCCTGCTCTGCCAAGCTGGGCTGGCACCGACTGGCGGGGGTGGCTCTCGAAGGACGGAGGCCTTAGCCAGACCTCTCCACCTCCCTGCCGGTTCCTCGTCCTACAACCCCGTGTCCCTGCCGGTGCCCACCTCCAGAGCGCCCGTCTGTCAGTCACCACATTCTCCAGACTACACCCCTCCCCCGCCCACACACCCTTCTTGGAATAAACTTAACAACCAGAGGAACTAACCCAAGCTCTGTGGTTGTCCCTCCACTCACGTCCAACAGGCGTTTTCTTCTTTTCTGCTGAGGAAGTCACATCCATGGCTATAGGATCATTTTCTTTATTTTGCAAAACAGAAGAAAGGAGGAAGCTGATATGTAAGAGTCTGCGTGTGAAATAGGATGGGGACACTTCAAACTAAGCAATGCTCACTGTTTGCTTTGTGGGGGAGGGAAGGTCAGGTCTTAATGTCCTCCACTCCTTTATTTATTGTTATTGGGGGGTGGGGTACTGGGAATTGAACCTAGGGCACTCTACTACTGAGCTACATCCTCAGTCTTTTTTTTATTATTATTTATTTTGAGATGGGGGTCTTGTTAAATTGCACAGGCTGTCCTCGAACTTGCAATCCTCCTGCTTTAGTCTCTGGAGTTGCTGGTATTACAAGTGTTCACCAACAACTGGCCTTTTGTTTGTTTGTTTGTTTTGTTTTAATTAGGATCTCATTCTTGTGGTTGTACATGATGTCACCAACTGGCTTTGACTCCCTGTTTTACATATTGGGAAACAGAGACGGTGGAACTAGATGGTAACTTTCCTAGCACTTTTGTAGAGAGAGGCTGATGTTAGCTTGGATCTACTGAAGACTCCCAATGTCTTTTGCAGCCTATGACACTTTGGTGGGGCCACAGCCTGCCCCAGGATCTTGGGTCAGAATCTAAGCTCTCCTGACCTGCTTTCCCTGAAGTTCTAAGCCCAGACTCTGCTTCAAAGGCACACTGGGGAGCAGATGTCTGGAGTCTTCTTGCAGCATCTGGTCAGTAAGTTTTGGTGTTACAGAGCTGGGGCCTTCTAAGAAACTGAGACAGCATGAAGGCTCCCCTTCGAGCCTCGATTCTTTCAATCAAGTCAGATTTCGGATGTGTTTCTCAGAGTAGCCGGTGTGAGTTTATTAGAAGGGATGGGAAAGGGGATACTTTCAAGGGAGAGAGTGGGTTCTGTAAGAGAGGAGAGGGATAGCATGCCTCTCCTGCCCTCCAGTTTTATTTAGGGTTCCGGGAAAGCTTCCAGAGAATCCCACCTAGATTTATTTCTTCTGACTGACAGTAGGATAACATCAGACTTTCAAGTTGCCACTGCTTTGACAATTCCAGGTCACTTTGGCTCATAGAACCGTTCTTATACATGTTATGGTTGGGGGAATTATCATGTCTCCCTGAGCTGAGTTCTGGTTTCTGGTCTGTATAAAAGAGTCCCAAACTTCCTGCAGGGTAACTTGTGTTCTTATCATTGGCATTATTTTGGGCCTGCATTTCTCCTGCAGATAACAGGTTGTTTCCTGAGGAATGTGTCATATCTTATTGACTTAAACCAGGTAGGCCTGCAGGTAATTTTTTTTCTTTTTGGTAGTTGTAGATGGTCATAATACCTTTATTTTATTTATTTTGATGTAGTGCTGAGGATCGAACCTAGTACCTCGCATATGCTGGGCAAACTGAACTACTGCCACTGAACTACAGCCCCAGCCCAGTAATTTTTTTTTTTTCTAATGAAAAGACATGGGGTTAGCCTGGTGGGCCTAATTTATAGAACTAGTCCCTTAACCTCATGTTCCAACTCCTCATGTATATCTGTCTGCTGTCATTGGTAGGGCTCAGAAATGTGCATTTAAAGAGCCCCAGAAAAAGCTCTGTTTGTCAGGTATTCAGTATAGCACTGAATCTGTATAAAAATCAGTGATCCACTCCAGCAGACACCCTAACAATTTCCCATGGTTGGATTTTAGATTTTTCAACTATGATGTGAAGGTAATACACTTTCAACATAAGCTGCACTTTGAAGTTTGAATTTTGATCTTTCCTTGGGATGATGATATGCAGTACCAGAGTCTTAATGCTGGACAGTGGGGCTGCAGCTCCCAGTCAGCACTGGATTAGGAGGGGAAGACTCTGATGCTCTTCATTGTACTGTGTTCAATAATAACATAAGAAATTCACAACTTTATTGTAAAATAGGCATTGTGTTAGATGATTTTGCCCAACTGTAGGCTAATATAAGTGTTCTGAGCATGTTCAAGGTAATGTAGGCTAAGCATTGATGTTTGGTAGGTGAGGCATATTAAATGCATTATTGACTTATGATATTTTCAACCTATGAAAGCCAGGAGGATCTGTGTTTTCTGATAAAGCAAAACTTTGTCAGTTTATGAATCTGTCCCTGTCTGGATGTCCTTCTGGGGGTGACCATCTCATCTGTGCTTGGGGTAAATGCCTCAGAAATGGCCCTGCATGGTTACTATTTGTAAAGTAAGTCACTGGCCTTGGGACCCCTCCGCAGCTGTCCAACCCCTCAGGTATTCTGAGAAAGCCTGGCCACTCTATCTTCTTGGCTGCCTGGAGAGTGGCAGGACTGAGAGCCTTGCATATTTGACTTTGGGCCCGAGAACTGGTCCTGTGTTGGGTCCATAATGACCTTCCTTTGTGGATCATTCCAGAGGGCTCTTAAGCCCTTGGGGGTGATGAGATGTGGAGGACACTGGCCTGGTCAGTTAGGGACCAATGTTTGCTTCCTAGTCCTATAACAGATTCCTGTGTGATCTAGGCAAGTGGGTGCCTCCTCTGTGGGGCCTCAGTTTCCTCATTGGTAAAACAAAAGCCCCTGTCTTCCCAGTGGTTAACTTCAATGACAGGTAAAATGCCTGTAGCATGGCACTGGAATAGTGACTCACCCCAAACACGGGCTTCTCTGAAGTTCAGCCTGTGCTCTCTGCCCTTGGCTACCTGCACCAACCTTTGTGGTGAGGTTTTTCTGCCCCTCTGGCTCTAGTTGGCCCTCCTTTTTTTGAGGGTTCCTTCTCTATAGTCTTGGTCCTCTATATCTTTGCAGAGGTTAGTCTGAGGACTGGTGCTGATGGCAGAGTCTGGGGGCCAGAGATGGTGGGAAGAATCTGAGGGTTTCTGTCTCCTGGTTTTTTAATCAAACACAGCCCAGGGCTGCTGTGAAGGGGCTTTGCAAATGGAATTAAGATTTATGTTAGGGGGTTTGGGTTGTGGCTCAGTGGTAGAGTGCTTGCCTAGCATGTGTGAGGCACTGGGTTTGATTCTCAGCACCACATATAAATTAATAAAGGTCCATCAACAACTTACAAAATATTTTTAAAAAATCTATGTATGTTAGCTGTCACCGTGACCAAATACTTCTGAAAAACAACTTAAAATAGGAAAGGTTTATTTTGGTTCATGGTTTCGGAGGTGTCAGTCCGTGATGTACCAGCCATTGTCTTCAGTCCTGTAGTGAGGCAGAACTGTCATGGCAAAAGGGTGTGGCAGAGCAAAGCTGCTCATCTTAGGGTGGGAAGCAGAGAAAGAGAAGGGGCTAGGACAAGATACAGCCCTTAAGTTTATGCTCTCCAGGACTCATTTTCTTTAACTAGGTCCCACTTTCTGCAGTTTCCAATATTTCCCAGTAGTTTGTTCAGCTTTGAATCCTGCAATGGATTAATCTAGTGATGAGGTCAGAGCCCTCATGATCCAATCACTTCCCCAAAGTCCCGCCTGTGAACATTGCTGCACTGGGTACCAAACCTGCAACCATGAGTCTTTGGGGGATACTTCAGATCCAAACCATAACAAGATCCAAATCAGCAAACTTTAAAAAAAGATCATCTTGGGGCAGGTGCAGTGAGTTGGTGCACACCTGTAATCTAATCGACTTGGGAGGCTGAGGCAGGAGGATCGCAAGCTCAAAGCCAGCCCAAGCAACTTGGTAAGACCCTGTCTCAAAATAAAAAATAAAAAGGGCCGGGATGTAGCTTGGTGATAGAGCACCCCTGGGTTCAATCTCCAGTACCATAAAGAAAAATAAAGGATTATCTTGGGTTTCAGTGTAATCACATGGGCCTCTAAAAGCAGAAGAGGAAGGGAGAAGAGTGAGAGAGATGAGGCAGAAGGTGAGGTCAGAGAAAGTCAGAGGAGGGAGAAGGGGGGAGGTGAAGTAGAGAGCTTTGAATCACGAGGGACTTTATGCACCACTGCTGGCTTTAATGAGAGCCACAGGACAAGGAAATTGGGTGGCCTCTTGGAGCCTGAAATGGCTCTAGCCAAAACTAGCAAAGAAATAAAGACCTCATTTCTACAACTGTATGCAACTGAATTCTGTCAACAACCTGGATGAGACTGGAATCATTTTCACCCTAGACCCACAAGAAAGAAATGTGACCTGGGTGACATTTTTGATTTGGGCTTTGTGAGGCCTCAGAGAACCAGGCAAGTCCACGTGGACTTCTGAACTGTTAAACTATTGTGGGATAAATATGTGTTGTTCTAAGCCTCTAAGGCTGTGGTAATAGTTATGTGATAAGAGGAGACACCAACACAGGAGGTGAGTGCAGAGGCTGGCAGGTGCCTTGGGTGACAGAGGCTGGGCGTGGTCTAAGGATCTAGACACATAGCCAGGTGGCACATTCAGAGTCAGTGCCTCCCTTGGGGTGCATTGGATCCTGCTCCCTGGCTTCACATGAATGCACTTTGTTAATCTCCACTATTTATCCTCATTGCACAGTTTAGGTAACAGAAGCACATTGCCTGTGGCCACATGACCCATTAGATATAGAGCTGGAATTCGAACCCCTGGTCTACTGACTCCAGGCTTCTAGTCTACAAAGTAGGGGAATGAAAGAGCTCTAAGGCCTGCTTGCTTTCTAAACTCTCCAGGCCTAGAATTCCCTGAGGCCTCAGAAAGGGTCAGGCACCAAACTAGCCAGAGCTCCTGGATTCTGTGATCAATTCCTGTTTGCAGAATGCCTCTTCTTAACTCTTCTGGTCATTGTCCCCTGTCCCATATTCATTCATCCTTTTTTTTTTTCCTTTTAAGAAAAATCCTCTGCTTACTTAACATCCTCCTCCGAACTTTATTCTCTTTCAACTGTTGACTACAAGTTTAAGTGATTCTCCAGACAAGAGACCTCAGCAGATAAGCTGATTCATTTCTCCCCTTTATTCCAGCATCTCATAATAAAAATAAAAATAATTGCAAGGACTGGGATTATGGCTCAGTGGTACAGCACTTGACTGGCACATTTGAGGCCCTGGGTTCAATCCTCAGCACCACATAAGAAAATAAATTAATAAAATAAAGGTATTGTGTCCATCTACAACTATGTATATATGGTATATATATTGTGTGTACATATATATTTATATTTATACTTATATATACAATATATATTGTACTAGGGATTGAACCCAGGCTGCTGAACAACTGAGCCACATCCTCAGCCCCTTTTAAGAATATTTTATTTAGAGACAGGGTCTCACTGAGTTGCTTAGGTCCTTGTTAAGTTGCTGAGGCTGTTTTCAAACTTGTGATCCTTCTCTTCAGCTTCTCAAGCTGCTGGGATTACAGATGTATGCCACTGTGCCCAGGTACAACTCAAAAAATATATTTAAAAAATTATTAAAAAATGACTTCAATAACAATGTAATTTGCATGGATTTTGTTTTTTAATGCTCATGACAACTCTGAGAAGGTTCTTATATATATAGTCTTTCTCAGATGAAGAAACTGAGACTTAGGTTAAGTAGACATGACGGGAAGTGGAGGAACTCTTTCCATACCCTTGTGCTGATTTTGTATAGTAGGTAGGAGAGGGTTGGTTAGGTGGTTGGGTGATGAATGTCTGGAAGGATGTGTGTATGGATGAATGGACAGAAGGAAGGATGGCTGGGTAGATGAAGAAATAACTTGATGGCTGAATAACTAGATGGTTTATTGGATGCAAGGATGGAAGGGAGGAAGGGTGCGTGGAAGGAGAGCTGGATGGATGCAGAGATAAGTGACTAGAGATTCTATAGAGTGAGCTAATGAATACAGAACCCAGGGGCATGATACAGAATAGAGGGGCATGTCAAAGGACAAAATTACAATTTAGTTCAAAGATCTTAATTGGCATTATTTTTGATTCTAGAATCAGATAACACTTTGTTCTGCAAAATAGAAAGAGAGTTCTAGGCAAGCAGAGGTGGTTCATGTTATAGATGGAGAAAGGTTGAAGAAAGCAGAAACAAAAAAACGAGAAGTGGATTGGACATTTCAATTACTTTTCTTGCAAGATGTGGGCGGGGAGACAGAGCAATAGAAAAATAACTAACAGGTTAACAGGTGGCTTCAGGTTACCTTTTTCTGTGTGAGGATGAAGGCAGAGGGAATGTCATTATCAGCCAAATGACACTGGCCAGTTTTGGAACTTGGACTACCACCTACGTAAACCTGATTTTGTAGGTCAAATAGACAGCTTAGTTTTAGCTTGATGAACTTCAGAGTGAGTGATTCAATTTTTATTTGGGGGGACTAGTGCAGGAACTTAGTTCAAAGCAATGTCTGCCTGTCTTTTCTCTTTAACAGGTGTGGGTCTGCATGAAGGAGGTTCAGCCACCCATGCTGCTTTGGTTGGACCCTAATGTGATCTTGGGTCTTCTGTTAGTTCCATTGTTGACTGGGTGACTTCTGCTTAGCCATCTGGGTTGCTTCCCTTGCTGTGGGTCAGAGAAGTCCAGCCTGAAAAATGTCCTCTGATTATACAAGGAGTTGTTTAACCCCCAGGAAATCAAGGAACATGGAGAACACCACCTCTTGGCCAAGCCTGGAACATGCTGCACCTATAACCCAGCTCAATGTGGAGACTTGCAGAGAAGCTCGGAGGCCGTTCTTACATCCCAGCCAGAATTAGCATGAAGTGGTAAGGTGTCCATGTGCAAGTGCATGGTTTGAGCCTAATTTTATTTAAAAAAATGTGATATCTTGTTCATTATGGATTTTTGACTTTAATTTTTATAAAGTATTGCATTAAAATATGATAGCTGTAATCTCAGCCATTCCTGAGGCAGGAGGATTGCAAGTTTAAGGTTAGCCTCAGCAACTTGGACCCTGTCTCAAAATGAAATAAGAAGGACTGGGCTGGGATGTATCTCAGAGGTAGAACTTCCCTGGATTCAATCCCCAGTACTGGAAAAAAAAAATTGGTTACTGAGTTTTTGATACTCCCTTTAAATATGCACAGGAGTAATATTTCTTGCCTCTCTCACTCAGTTAGTCTTGGCACTATGATGAAGCCCAGTTTCTGAGCTCCCCTGCAAGCCCAGTGCCCCTGTGTGTGGGGGTTTAGAGGTGGGAAGGGTGGGAGCTTATCCTGAGTTGGCCTCATTCTTAACATCTGGGGGAAGCAGGAGTTCTGGAGCCCAGAACATGTTTCACTCCAATTTCTTTTCCATAGACTCCTTCAATCTCTCATTATTCACAAATTCTCATCACTATACTCCTTTGTCTGGCACTTAGGCCCTCTGTGGTATATCCCTATTGTGCTTGTAATGTCCAGCACCCTGTGTTTCTTACCAGTTCCGGAATCTGCTTCCTGGCCTAGGCACAGACCTACCTCCAGCCCTCCTCCTGCTCCTCATTCTCCTCAGCCGCACCTTCCTCGCCCCATTCCAAGTTCCACCCTGGTTGAATGTCTCCTTCATGGAAACTTCCTCTTCCTGAATTCCTGACTTAATAATGTATACCACAACATATTTGATCTTGTCTGACTTTGGAGGGCTTCCTGCCGAGCTGACCAATTTTAGTTAGTCTGCACCACTTGGCTGCTAGCCTGAGTGGCCAGTGCCCATGACTTACTGGTGGTTAACTATTTCAGAAGTCACCTGCTGGTTTCCTGTATCTTTTCCTTCTCAGTGAAAGAGAGGAAGAAATATCCATGTGCCAGTGCTCAGAGCTTGCCCACCACCAGCCCAGCATCAAGAATGCAGCAATAGCTGTTGGTGTTGTTTATTCTCAGTAAAATGTAAAAGGCTTGGGTCATTGAATGTGATATTTAAAGGGCTCATTGAATCCTGGATGAACTAGGTGTATAGATGCTTGCACTGACCTCTCCAGAAGGTCTGCGGGCGTCTAGAGAAAGCTCTCCAGTGGAGCAAATTGGGAGCATAGAGTTTTTGGGTGAGTGCAAGGCTTGGAGGGAAAAAAAGAGAAAGGGGCTGCTGTGTTCCCAGGGAGGCCCCAGACCCAGCAAGATGGGGTAACTGGAGGACATGCACCCCGAATGAACAGAAGGGTATTGACTCCCCTTCCTGGCAACGAGAAATTGGCCTTGGCTATTTCTGGGTCATGAGTCATTTGGTCTGAGTGTGGGTAATAATTGCACAGTAAACATAAATCATTGCAGATGTTGCGATGGAACCTGATAAAGGTTTAACTACATGCAAATGGAATCAGGCTGAGCCAGAAGGGAGCCTGCAGGATTTCACCACTGGGGTGTTGTGTTATCTCTTGAAGACTTCCTGAGCCAGCCACTCACAGCCCCCTGCCAGTCCCCAGCCACCCAGCCGTGACCTCTCCCACCTGCACACTTGTGGGGCTCCCTCTCTCCATGGATTCCTCATTATATCCTTGCTTAGCCCACCACTCAGACTGCCTTATCCGGGACAACCTTGACCACTTTTCTTTCCATCAGAAACCCTGGGTTTCTATTCCTTCAAGGATCTCTGTGTATGTGTGTGCATGTGTGTGTGTTTGTATGTGTGTGTGTATGTGTGTATGTGTGTGTGTGTGTGTGTGTGTGTGTGCATGTGTGTGGTGTGCTGGAGGAGGCACGTGGGAGGCAGTTGCTATACCACTGAGCTGCACCCCAGCCCTAAGCACCTGTTTGAGACACTTCCTCTATGAAACTCTTTCTGACCTATATCCTTTTTTCCTTTTTAAAAAAGTGAAGTGAAATTCACATGATATCCAATGAACCATTTTAAAGTGTAGAATTTAGAGTTATCCCATTAACTGATCTAAATCATCTCTGATCATGTTTTATGAATCAGACATTTACAATCAGCCCCCCCCCCACCAACCCCTTTCTCTCCTTTTTTGTGAACCAGGGTTGAACCCAGGGGTGCTTAACCACTGAGCAAACTCCTCAGCACTCCCCTCTTTTATTTTTTATTTTGAGATAGGGTCTTATTCAGTTTCTTAGAGACTCTCTAGGTTGCTGAGGCAGGCTTTGAACTTGTGATCCTCCTGCCTCAGCCTTCCAAGCTGTTGGGATTACAGGCATGTTCGGCTCTCTGTTGCGCAGGCTGGAGCTCAGTGGTTACTCACAGGCACGATCTCACTACTGATCAACACATGTTTTGAACTGATCAACACATGTTTCTGACTGGGCCAGTCCTGCCTTCCTTAGAAAACCTGATGGTCCCCTGCTCTAGGGAGGTCACCATACCAATTCAGAACTTAATATGGGCATCTCTAGTTGACGTAGTATATCATAGCCCTAAACTCTCGGGCACAATTCTGCAGCTCAGGTTCCCAAGAAACTGGGCTACAGACACATGACACCATGTTGGGATCTCACTATTTTTATTTAAGTGAAATTCACATAATACAAAATTAATCGTTTTAAAGTGTACAGTTTAGTGATGTTTAGTGCGTTCACAATATTGTGCAACCATTGAGAGTCCCATGAAAAACAGGACCCCTCAAGATTAAGGGAGCAAAAACTCTCCTAGGGTGGGGGCAGATGAGACAGATAGGGACACTCATAAAACGACAAATCCACCTTTACCTCCTAGCTTTTCAGCCATTGGAATACAGCATGTGCTTTTTCCTGCTCTTCAACCCTTAACTCATTGCCTGCTACCCATTAAAACTGTGATGTGTCTGGGTGTGGTGTCACATGCTGGTAATTCCAGTGACTCAGGAGGCTAAGATAGGAGGATTGCAAGTTGGAGGTCAGCCCTAGCAACTTATTGAAGCCCTGAGCAACCTAGCAAGAAGACCTTTTCTCAAAATAAAAAGGCTGGGGATGTGGCTCAGTGGTAAAGTTCCAGAACCTGAGTTCAATTCCTAGTATCAATTCCTGGCAGGAAAATTACAAGTTCAAGGCCAGAAGTTAGGGATGCTTTACTACTGAGCCACATCCTCAGCCCTTTTTATTTTTTATTCTGAGACAAATTTTCACCAAATTACCTTAGAGCCTAAGTTGCTGAGGCTGGCCTTGAACTTGTGATCCTCCTACCTCAGCCTCCCAAGTTGCTGGGATTACAGGCTTATGCCACCAGGCCCAGCTCAAAATAAAAACATTAAAAAGCTCTGGGGTATAGCTCAGTGGTAGAGTGAGCTTGGCTCAGCCTCCCTCCACCGCCCCCCCCCCAAAAAATTTGTTCTTCTATATTTCCTCACTCTTTGAAATAATCTCAACAACTTCAAAAGCCAGGTGCATCATTAAAACCAGGGTGTCTTTGCCTGAAAAACCTCCAAAGGTAGACAAGAGAAGGGAACTGTTGAGGAGTCGCCAAAACAGCAAATTGCCAGGGACCTTCACTTGCCACTGGCCTGATTTGTGTTATCTTCTACTCCCCACCTTTGTGTTCTCTGAACAGCTGTAGCGATTCATGCTGGTCACAGTCAAGGGTGTTTATACAAGATGTGGCACCAACAGAAGGATGTAAGTATTTGGCTCCAGACTGACCGTCCTGCTCTCAAGCCTGAAGTGTTTGCACAGGAAAAGAAACACTTCTGAAACCGTGCCCAGGGCCAGTGAAAATTCCTTGTCTGTAGCCCACTCCTGCAGCCCTTAACCCTGAGGAACACCTAGCACCCTTCTTTGTCCCTGAGCCAGCCTGACAACCCTGTCTCCCTCCTCTCTGGAGCAGAGATCCCAGAAACCTTGCCTGTGAATTCACACTTCACTTACTTTTGTTTCTATTGACACCTTCGTCCTTGTTCCTGTCTCTGGTAATATCATCACTCTCTTTAGTTTCAAAACATTTCATTACTTCAGAAGCACACCCCAGTCCCTCCTCAATCTCACTCACATGCCAACCACCAATTTGCTTTCTGACTCTATGGGTTTGCCATCCAGAAGTGGATATTTCACATAAAAGGGACCATACAATATTTCACCTTTTGTGTCTAGCTTCTTTCACTCAGTGTAATGTTTTTAGGTTCTTCCAAATTGTAGCACGTGTCAGTACTTTATTACCTTCTAAGGCTGAATACTACTCTATTGTATTGATATATCACATGCTGTTTATCCATTCATCCATCAACGGACATTTGCGTTATTTCTATCTTTTGGCTATTGTGAATAATGTTGCTATGAACATGTGTGTACAAATCTCTTTTCAATACCCTGCTCTCTCTCTCTCTCTCTCTCTCTCTATATATATATATATATATATATATATATATATATTAGTTGTTAATAGATCTTTATTTTACTTATTTATATGTGGTGCTGAGAATCGAACCTAGTCCCTCACACATGCCAGGCAAGTGCGCTACCGCTGAGCCCCAGCCCCAGCCCCTCAATACCTCAAAGTGGAATTACTGTTGTTATTGGTTTTTTTTTAGATTTTTTAAAAAATTATTAGTTGTTCAAAACATTACAAAGCTCTTGACATATCATATTTCATACATTAGATTCAAGTGGGTTATGAACTCCCATTTTTACCCCGTATACAGATT